TTTTTTTTTTTTGCATTTTGCCCTCTTTCAGGCTTCGGCATCGACAGCTTCCAACCTTACCGTAGCCATGGCGTCAATGGTGCAACACCTGAGGCGAATCTCTGTGGTTGTCAGTACGTCGGTGCAGCCCTAATTTATCAAAAATATTAATAATGTCATAATTTATATTGAATATTTATAATATAATGCATTACATAAATATCTTTGTAGATAAAAACTTCTGTAATATAATAAATATGACTGATTGCTTAGAAATTTTCCCGAAAAGCAGTTATGTTCGCATTTCATCTTCATGGCAAATTACCTGATGTTTTAACAATTTGTCAGTCATGTCTGTCTGGGTGTCCATTGGAGGTATAAAGGAGGGAACTTTGACATTCTTGACATTTTCTGAACTGAGTGCTACTTTTCATTTTCAGAATTTGCCATTAGAAGCAATGGTTTGGATGAAAAACAAATTTCACAAAAGATTGATGAGGCACCTCTAGGGAAGATATGCCAGCCCCACCCAATGCAGTCACTGAAGTTTCTCTGAAGCTGTGGATTCAAAGTCTGCCTTCCAGTCTCTCTCTATTTTCTAACTACTACAGATGTCAATTCATGAAAGAGAACAAAATGTTCCCAAAGTGCAGGGAATTGAAAAGGAATTGGAATAGAACTGAACAATGACTCGATGAATGACCAAAACAAAATAAAGAACTGTATACATAATGAAGAGGGCAACCTCACAGACAAACAAGTAGGCTCCCGTGAAGGAAAAACAAAATCCCCTTCTTGCAGTAAACCTACCATGCAAGGAACAGAGAGTAAAAAATAATACTTACAACCCGTTTCTTGGTGCCCTGATTCAGATCTAGTTCGATGAGCTGATTGTGATGGCCTCCGACGAGAAGAGTGGAAGGACCGGTGATCAGCATGCACTGCATCTCCGTGAAATTCTCCGAACTGAATGCACCACCCACCGGGACCGTCGTTTGGGACTCGAGATCAACAGAGCCAGCACAAATGGACTCACGTGTGCGTGAAGATGGGGAGTCCTCTCCTCATCTGACACCGGAGGGAACTCTCGGTCAGAGCCAGGATACCCGTGTCGAAGGTGAGGATCTGCCGCACCTCTTCTGTCGCGTGCACTTGGAAGGACGTATACTTTTGCAGAGTATTCCCATAGTATGATGTCACGTGACCCTGTTCGAAGGAAAGTTACACCATGAAATCCTAGTCAGGACTTCATGCAAAGAAAAAGTATAACAATTATCCTCTACTGCATCTTCAATTTAAAAGATGGTATGTTTGGTACATTATAATTGCTGGGTTAACTAGTTTGGTTGACCAGGAGGAAACACAAAATCATTGGGCTCACTTTACATGGTTATGCTTTCCATGAACACTCTTGGGTTCTAGCCACAGGTAAATTCCCTCCCTGAAGGCAAAAAACCAATTGCTGGCAATTGTTCTTTTTCCTTCAATAGTTCAACAAGAACACCAATTATTTATTCATTTTTGCCAGGAGTCAAGGACAAATGTATGCATACTGGGCCTGTTTCCTTCACATAATTACTGCTCAGTTCTCGTGGCATTTGGATCATCTTTCAGTAAGTATATCCATTTTCAGGACAGAATTTTTCATGGTGCCCAAATACAGCTATTCAGAGCAACTCAGGCCACATAAGGAAAAATGTCTTAGAGCTGAGGTATGGGTGCAAGTTAGGCCTCATAACACACATAAATCCTCTGGGCTCTGTTTGTTTTACATCAAAACTGATCGGATTCTCATGCCTGTCTGTTGGCGCAGAAATTTTTTTTAATTCACAAGTGTTATATATTTACATGTATTCATTACTCATTCAAGACTCTTTTTTTTTTCTCTATTGGGTTCACAAGACTTTATTCATATGAAATTATGTAATCCAAACCAAAGAAATTGCCAAATACTAGCCACAGGTAAATTCCCTCCCTGAAGGCAAAAAACCAATTGCTGGCAATTGTTCTTTTTCCTTCAATAGTTCAACAAGAACACCAATTATTTATTCATTTTTGCCAGGAGTCAAGGACAAATGTGTGCATACTGGGCCTGTTTCCTTCACATAATTACTGCTCAGTTCTCATGGCATTTGGATCATCTTTCAGTAAGTCTATCCATTTTCAGGACAGAAGTTTTCATGGTGCCTAAATACAGCTATTCAGAGCAACTCAGGCCACATAAAGAAAAATGTCTTAGAGCTGAGGTATGGGTGCAAGTTAGGCCTCATAACACACATAAATCCTCTGGGCTCTGTTTGTTTCACATCAAAACTGATTGGATTTTCATGCCTGTCTGTTAGTGCAGAAATTTTTTTAAATTCACAAGTGTTATATATTTACATGTATTCATTACTCATTCAAGACTCTTTTTTTTTTCTCTATTGGGTTCACAAGACTTTATTCATATGAAATTATGTAATCCAAACCAAAGAAATTGCCAAATATGTAACAAGAGAGGCTTTGGACACATTGAAGGAATTTCACCATGTAGAATTGCTCTACTTGAGCCAAGGTACAAGCAATAATAATATTTTATAAACACTAGACACAAGAATGATGTAAATATTATCATTCAAAGTATGATAGTTATTGAAAATTATTCAAAATCAACCAAATGAAACTTGGAACAAAACTCAATGGTAATGAAAACAGTGATGTAATTTTTGAGCTCCAAATCAGGCAGGCTCAAATTTTCACACAATCACAGAAATGGGGCATTTGATGGCGGGAGATACTTGTGTCTGGGCTGCAGAAAGACCAAATGACTCACGCCTTGGTTCCCGATCCAGACCAGCTCCTCGAAATTGTCAAAGTTGACGGTGGAAACTCCGAATCGATCCCCTCCATCCACGACGAGCGACTGAGACTCTTGATACTCCGAATCTCCAAGCCCACGCCGCGTCGAGTATTCCACTCCCCCTCCTTCGTCATAGAGCGCTGTACACAGGTCCTTAAAATCAGCCAGCTGTCTTCATCGGAGGCCTCTTAGCCACCTCTTGTCCAAGCATTCATTCACATTCAATAGGTCTACGAATATATATGGGCCGTTGAGTTAACAAAATCCTAACGGCTGAGAACTGTCCTCGGTCATTCAAATGGGCCGAGCGAATGAGAACTCACGGACGAAATCGACTGGCGAAATATCTGAAGCTGCAGCCGAATGGAAACCCGAAAAGGCTGCGTCCATCTCTGTCAACAAAAATCCCTAAAACGATCTTTCTCGCAAGTCACACTACAGGAAGCCCCGGCCTCTAAATGGCCTACTGTTTGTGCTAGGCCCTCCAAACCGCTCACGAGGACTCCGGACTGCACGGCGCCTCCATCTTGGTTTCTGCTTCCACCTTTCACTGCTAGATGTCAGGAGCGGCCGTTTCGCGCCACGTAATCCCGACTCATCCAGGTCATCTACAGTCCTCCGAGGAGTTCGGAGACTCACGCATCCGCCGGGTTTTCGACCGTTCAGCCGCCGAAACGGACGACGTTCCCACGTATTAACGTAATATCTTGGACCCGTTCTTAGGATGTTTGCGTGAAATATCCATGATTCTGTATGCGATGAGACACCTTGCCTTTTCGACGAGTTCTCAGGACTCGCGGATTTTACATGGTTCCGAACAATCTAAGATCCTTCTGACAGTAATCTCCGATGGTACGATGCACTTGGAAGCTGAAGCAGGATTGAAACCCAAGGCAGCGTTAGCATAAGTTCCTTAACGCTCAGAAGTCACGTTACAAGAAGCCTTTTATCGGGAAATTAGTGCTTTACCCTCCAGCCTCTCAAGGCTCCGAATTACATGACGCCTCCATCTTGGTTTGTTTCCACGTTCCGCAACTAGATGTCAGGAGAGGCGGTTCCGCGCCAACTCATCCAAGTTAGTAAACTTTTACCGCTTTCATCAGTCACAGTGTGTGGGAATCGGGATTTCCGGTTCCCGCTGACTTCGCAAATCGCTGGAATGCTGCGAAAGATTGCAACAAAAAAAAGGGCATGGTCGAGTGCCATCTGTGCAAACTTCCGTTTCATGCAAAATGTTCTGCAGGTCCCGATGTGAAAAGAAGAAAACGGGGGGAAATCCTGAAAACATGACATGTATTTCTCTCTCCCTCTCTCAATGTTTCTTTACAATGAGGCAATGACTCTTGTACTGTACAAATGACAGATGGCATGGCAGCAAAAACAAGTTGGCACGTATTTTTGATTCTCACTAGTGCGGTGGAACCAGGATCCACGGGGGGGAACCAGGCGGTGTCACGGTGGCATCCAGGTGGTGTCCAGGTGGTATCCTCGGTTTCCAAAAAAAAATCTCGGCTATTTGGGTTCGAAAAATTAAAAAAAGGAAAATGACTAGGATACAAAAATAAGACCAGGCGCGCTGGGAGATTCCCCGAAGGCGCGAAGAGTTGAATGACTCGAACCTTTTGGCACGCGATTTCTTTGAAGGGAAAAAAAAGGGGAAAAACCGAGAATTGCCAAAAAAAATTTCCGGCAGGACCCGCTGACCGGAGGGAGGTGCGGCGGCGCTGGGGACACTAAGGTTGCCGCGGCGGTTGCCGAGGCAGTTGCGAGACGCGTACACAAAATTGAAGGCAAAAAGCGAGAGAAAACACTTGTAAAGGGCACAAAGGACAAAGGACAAGGAGGAGGAAAAGCCAAAAACAAAAAAAATGCACGCACACCGCGCGGGTCGGTCGGTTGATTACCCGTAGACGTTGAGAGAAAACGCTTCATGGGTCGCCGCGGTCGCCTCGATGGCGACAAGGGTCGCCACGACGGCAACCCCAAAAAAAGTACCGACAGAATCGAGAAGAAAAAAAAAGGATCAGGTACTCCGAAAAGAAGAAGAAGAAAACCATGGAAGTTTCACGTCCACGGAGGCGAGGTCCACCGCAATTACCAATAAATATGGTCAAAAAACAGGGAAGAAAAAAAAAAAAAAAAAAAAAAAAAAATCGCCATCACATCATTTGGGGGTCATAAATAAACATTTTCCTCACGCACTCGATACGACACGGAGACACGAATGAAAAAATGAAATAAAGCTTTCTCTGATGAACCAACAAAAAAAAAATTGGCACCTTCCAGGTGAGATTCCAAATTTGTGTGCTTTCTGTCAAATTTTTTTTTCGTTTTTTTTCGGCGGTTTTTTTTTCTTCAGACGCAGACACGAAGAGACACACAACGGCATCACTTTCCCGTTTTGTTTTTCGTTTGTTCGAAGCCCGTCCGATGAAGATCACACTTTTCTATCACGATCGAGGAGTTGCTTGGGTAGGTAAAAAAAAAAAAAAAACACAAAAAAACTCCAAAAACTGGAGATTTTTCCTCAAACATTTCGCTGTTTACCTCCCAAACTTGAGCCTGGACGTGGGTTTATCGTCGGGGCATCGCCAGCAGCATTCCCCTTCGTCTTTCACTGGCTTCGGGCAAGACACTTTGGGGCAGTGGCGGCGCCGGCAAGTGTACACCTTGTCCTTTAACGGGAGAAAGGACCATCGATTAGAAAAGGACCATCGATTAGAAAAGGACCATCGATTAGAAAAGGACCATCGATTAGAAATTGCTTCTTTCGAAACGAAATCATCGACGAACTCATATGACGCCAAAAACCACGGAACCGAGGCAGCAAATGCAAATCATATGAACACGATCGATCCGATCGAAGAACGGAGGCCTACCACTTCAATCCTTCAGGATTGAATTAATCCTTTAAATTAATCCTTTGAGTGCTTGAACTGAAAGAAGATTACCGAGGGGGGGAGGGGAACTTCAACCTCCCCCCTTTAAGCTCATTAAATCGAATCGATAACGCGAAAGGCTTTTCCAGTTCCATGGCGACGCCGAGACTTCTTCGGGGTGCTCAAGGAATAGACCTTGCCCTTGACAGACTCGTTTTACGAAGTTAGATGCTTCCATGAAATTGACAACAAAAAAAAGGCAACACTCGTTTGTACTCGAGTACACGTGTGGATATCCTCCTGCAAAAACCTCTGGAGAGGGGTAAGTAGATAGGTCGACCTCGTATTTCTAAACACTAAACGCTCCAAAAACAAAACAGCAACCTCAACCGTGAAAGGAAAAAAAAAGTCACCTTGCAAGAGCAATCGATGCACTTGAGTTCCCCGAAGGGAATGACCTTCGGATGCCACTGGTCCCCGTTCTCGAAGACCTCCCCGCGGACGAGGCATCCCCCGTCCTGGAGGATCGCGGCGGTGATCTCCGCGTCCGTCTTCTCCGAGCCCTGGTCCTGGATCTCGTCCGGGTCCCGGTCCCGGTCCCGGCTCCCCGTCCGGTTCACGGCCACCGGATCCGGGCACTCCCGGCAGCAGGATCCGGGCTCTCGGTACTGCAGGCTCCGAGGGCACGTCAGTCGCGGGCACTTCAGCCGGTTGCAGGACACTTGCAGCGTCCGTGCCTGTGACGAAAACCAAACCACGCGATATAATGACAAATAACCAAAAAAATTACCAACGAAACATAAATATCGAATGAATGATTTCGGTGAAAGAATTCAAAATTGTCTACAATCAAATCTGATCGCGAGAACCCCACTCGGCCTCGACCTCTAGAATCGTCCATGTGTCCCCCTCCACACCGACCAGAAACGGAACGTTCCCTCCCGGGACACGTGGCAGTTCCATGAGTCACAAAACACGTTTCGCCTTCAACCCTCTCTGAATGGATCCACTATCATCCCCCACCTACTTAACATGCATCGACCGATAGGAAAACCTGCTGCTCGGAAAAAAAAAAACCACCAGCCCAACCGCGTTTCCCCCATCAACAAGCCCCGTAAATGTTTCCCCGACCTCGACCCACTCGAAAAGACGAACGGCCCCGCCGACACAAACGACCGACAACCCTCACATCACAGGTGCAGACGGCGCACTTGGAGAATCCTCTCGGGGGCATGTACGGATGCCACGTCGACCCGGCCACGTGGAACTTCTTGTCTCCCGCCTGGAAATAGCAGCCCCGCGTTGGGTCCAACTCCCCTGGCCCGTCTGAAAAAAAATCCACCACATCCCTCATTCATTCTCACACCATAATAAAACAAGTAACATTTCATCACCGCCGACAAATTGGATCTGACAAATCCTGCAACACTTGATCACGTGCCATTTTGAGCCATTTGACACCACCTGCCCCCCCCCCNTGCCATTTTGGGCCATTTGACCCCCCCCCCCCCCCCCCCCCCCCCATTTGAGCCGAGCTGTCGCTTACGACACGAAACGCATCATTAACTCCAATATTCGCCTCGCGATCCGTCCGGTCGAGTTCGTTCCACTCAAAATAATGGAATCCAATTAGTAGTTATGGAAAGCAGCCAGGAAACTTCTGTTCGCATCGAAATGCATGGGGGAGGGGGGGAGAATCCCATCCAACCAGAGTTGAAAACCCGACCAGATGGATTACAACTCTCAGCCAGGGATGCCAGAGCTGCGAAATTCGACCACGAAATAAGTGTTGCACGATTTCCGCAATCCACCGACATCAACTTACATTCACGATTCCAAATTTGCATTACAAATGCAACAAAAATACAAAATACAACTTAAAAAAAAAGAACTCAATTTGATTTTCCCATTCGAATCCGAGTCGTACGGAAAAAAACGCACCGTAGCAGATCGGGCAGCACTGTCCAGGGAGGATGACCGGGTTGTTACACGCGATGAGCGGGCAGATCTCCTTGTCGCAGAGGACCTTCCCCTTCTGGCAGGAGCACATGAGGCAGTTGTCGTTCGGAGACGGCCACTGCTCCAGGTCCTCGTGGATCAGGTTGTCGTAGAAGCACCGGTCCGTGCCGGGGATCTCGTTCTCGTCGTCGCCCTCCGCGTCCGGATCCCCGGACTCGTCCAGGAGGATCCCGCTCCCGTGCAGCACGGGGGCCGGGACCTTGTAGCTCGGCAGGCACGATCCGCCGATCCCAACCTGCGGACGAGGACGATTTCCTTCGATCTTTTTCTTCGAACACTTTCATCGAGGCAGGAAGCTTTCTAAGCCTCATCGATTTGTTACATCCCAAAACGAATGACGCTCACGACCCTGAAAGGCAATGCTTAGTTCCGGGAAATCTCTGGCCATCGAGAAAGCCATGGCGATCGACGGAAATGAACAGCGGTAGATGGGAGGGTTCCAGCGGTGAGGGGGAGGGTTCTTGGCAGACCTTCCGGCACGACAGGGAAGGTGATCGGCGAGTGATCAGTGGCTCTTTGAAGGGAACGAGAACAGCATCGACCAATTCCAGGTTCCATTGGCTGTATTCCAGCCTCGATCCCCTTTGGCCCAGGGAATTTACTTTTCTTCTTTCAATTACACGAACCTACGGATGTTGAAACGGTAGCGCTTTCCGCATATCTTCGCCACGAAGGATCGCAACGGGGAAAAAAATATTTATTTATCTCCAAGTGCAGCCACTTATCTTGTTCCATTCGATATCCTACCCACTTCAGTTCGCAAAATGACGCGTCAAGGCCGCAGGCGGAAATGAGGAGGTCTGTGATGATTTTTTTAGTATCCCAGCAGGGCATTGGACTTGGGAGTTTTCATCTTTAAAAAAAAAAAAAACTATATGTATGCCTCGGCTGTCAGTTACTGACAGATGAAAGGTGAGTACCCCCTGGGAAACATGAGGGTTGGTCATCCGGGCGGGCAAGTACCGTCCATCCAGTACCTCCGGGAACCATCGAGTGCGACCATTCCACCCCCACAAACCCTGACGGATGGGCGCGGAGGAGCGGATCCCCCATCCGGCATGAGACATCGCCCACCCCGCAGCGAAAATCGACTCTCTCCCATCTTAATTAAACCGAGTAAATCGATCGAACGAACTCGGAGTCTCACCTGCCCCCTCGATATCGTCGTCCTGACGTCGACGACCTCCTGCATCCCCAGGTCCTGCCTGAGCACCAGCTCCGTGATCCCCGCGTCGATCCTCGCCAGCGTGATCTTGGACAGCTCCAGCTCGTGGCCCTCCCCCGACGCCTGGGCGAACCTCCCCAGCGCCGTGTTCCGGTTGGGAATCCCCACCGCGTTCTGCCGGATCGGGCTCTCCAGCAGCTCCAGCATGATCGGATGCTTCTCGGACGCCTCCAGGCCCCCCGTCCGGAGGTCGTAGTGCATGTTGCAGTCGCCGTCCGTCGCCATCCACGCCAATGCCCCCGCGGACCTGAAACCACGCAGTGAGGTATTTCTTTACCGTTCGCCCCGACGAATTCTCGCTGACAGTACATTTTAAAATCATTTTTGAGAGAATCAGACGTCTACCACAAATTCAAAAATTTAACTAGAAAATTCTGCTCGTGGGCGCCAGTGCGATTCCATATCGTCACATCATTCGTACATGATTAAAATTTTCATTATTCGTCAGGAAGGTTTCATTTGCGCGGAGAAGGCACTTCGACGTCAGTCGGTGGCCATTTGCCTGCCGATGACGAGATGGAATTAGGGCTGCCAACACTTTACATTGGCGTACAGCCAGAGCAATAATTTCTCAATAATTGCCGAGTGGCATTAGAAATAATGGGTGATTTATCACTCCTTCTAAACAGAAAATTACTTCGATCATAATCGGCAATGCAATTAAAAACTGCTCCCAAAATCTCCAAATCGCATCTACCGCCACGAAGCAGTCAGACCCTTCGACGAGTTCCGAGAGGAGAAAAAAAGAATCGGAAGGGAACTGACCTCAAGGCGGCGCGAAGGAAGACGGGCCTGGAGCCGAGATGAGCCTCGGAGAAGAGTTCCCACTGGACCTGCCCCTGCAGCCTGGCTCCCCCCTCCAGATCCACACCGATCCAGACTTCCTCGTCCCAGAGCATCTCCAGGTCCCGGACGCTGGCCTTCGAGTAGGTCCCGTTGGCCCATCCCTCGTAGACGGCGGCGAGGATATCGTCCATGACTCGCGTCTTCCGCTTCTGCGTTCCCTCCATGCTGAGTCCGACGACCGACGAGGGCACGCCTTCGAGGTTGATCCGGTAGTCCACGGACCCGTCCGCGTTGAGGTTGAGCAGCGCGAATCCCGTGCCCGCGCTCGGGCTCTCCGGCGACGTCATGACGGCCGCGAACACCGAGCAGTCCGGCTTCGTGTGAATGGGGCCCGACAGCTTGTAATCCGGCTGGTCGCTGGCGAACACGTCCAGGACGAGGTGTCCCCGAGCCAACTGCCTCAGCTGCGGGAGTTCCAGGACCGTCTTCACCTCCACCCGCTCCATCTCCGGATCCGGCTTGGGCCGGAAGAACTCCTCCCGGAGGACCACCTCGTCCGGATCCTTATGATTCCGGAGCACCGCCACGAACGACACGTTCCACGGCTGCTGCGGGGGAAACAGCCCCTGAAACAGCACCAGCAGATGGACGCTCCCCGTGTTGCTATCCACCGAGACCACCGCCGTCCCCCCTCCCGTCTTGTTCTTCGCGCCTTCCGGTACGAGCAGGCTCGAGTACTTCTCGGTCTCCAGTCCCTGATCGCGGAACAGTCGACCCTGGGCCGTCCAATGCGTCGTGTTGTCGGCGGGAACCAGGGAGGCTTTCAGCTTCTCCTTCTGCAACCGGTTACGAACGCGTGAGGACTCGAAATGCTTCGCAAATTCCGCGCAGAAAGATTTCTCGTTCGTATGAACGAGAATTATAGGGCCAGTACGACATAGGCCAGTACGACAGACAAACATGACATTAAATTAGGGAGAAATATGCAATTCCAATAACTAAAGCAACAACAACGTTCTTTCCTGCACGAGGCTTCACACCCCACCATCGACGAAAAGAAAAAAAAAAAACCGGAACGCACGCAAACGCACTCGACGCATCCATCATTTTAAAACTAATTAACGCAGCAGATTTATTACGGGACCCGATCCCCCGACTCACCCTGAGCAGCCTCCGGTACGCCTTCGGTGGCTTCCTCCACACGCCACACACCCGCCGGTTCCTCTCGTCCACCGCCGCCTGCAGATCCAGCTCCTCCAGGATCTGCCCCTCCTCGTCCACGAACTGCAGGGCCCTCGGCGGCGGCCCCCGCGCCCCGTAGTACAGCCCGAAGTGGAGGTCCCGCTTCTGGAAGTGGAACCTCGCCGTCCCGACCACCCGCTCGCGGTCCCGGTCTAAGCCTTTCTCTTCCAGTCCCCACGTCGTCATCACCACTGCGTAATCTGTAACGACGCAAGCCTCCATCTAATTCTTTTTTCAAATTTTTTAAATATAAATATCAATTTATCGCATGATTTCAAAGAAATCCCACCATTACGTAACGTCCAGACATCATACAAAAGCAAAGAGCGGAAATGTCGGCGGAGCAATTCCCATCAGGAGGAAATTCCCACCGAATAAACGTTTTCCCCATGGCACTTCGGGTCTTTTACAAGAACTGCCATGAAATTGCTCGCATACACACCCGCGCGGATCGTAAACCACAGTTCATTAGAAGCTGAAAATGGCGGGAGAGGGGTTCTAGGTCACGGAGTCATAGAGGAGATAGACGCCCTCTTTTTAATTTTTTTCTTTTTCTTTTTCAACTGCGCACTCGAGTTAGAAGGAATACCAAACCAGCAAAGGCAGGGCGGGATGGAGTGAAATTTCTTGGCATGGGGACCTGGAACGCTTCCAGGCAGACGTGAGACACACGTCCCTTAGCCTCGGAATCCCTAGAACCTATCCCTAAAAAAAAAAAAAAAAAAAAAAAAAAAAAAAAAAAAAAAGGACCTAAAAACTCGCGGCTCCGCTCCTTTCATCGCCCCTTCGTCGGCTCCAAATATTGATAAACAGATATCGGGGAGTAATGAGACAGGAGTCCTTGGCAGGGGATGAAGAAAAAAAAATGGATGGGTGTGTCCCCCTTGACTCTTCCATTAAAGACCCTCGCTTATACAACGAAGATAACTCGGACTCATTCATTTTCCTTGAAGAGTCAATCGGGGAGTCCGCCTCCTCAGGTCCCTGCACGGTACGCTTTTTTTATATCACATATATATGTATACAAAAAAAAACGGAGGGAGTCCAAGGACTCTCTCTTGCCGCGCAAGGACTCTCGCTTACCTCGCATAGGTGGCTTCTCCAGGTCGTCCGGATCCTCCTTGACCGACACGTCGCTGATGAAGGCTTCATCTGCGAGGGGGGAAAAAATCCAAGGACCCGCAATTAGAATCGGGGCGGATGCGAACTGACGGGGCCCGTCAGACACTTTTTGCGGGTGTTTAACGCGGGGATAATCTACTGTCAGTTCCCATCACCGAGTACCGGGTAAGTACCGGGTACTTAGCGGGGCGAACTGCCTCGAGAAACACCGGCAGGCTCTCGGAATAAATTTCAGAACCGACGAGGAAGTCTCCGACGGGCCCACGCGATGGCCTGTTATCTGACGAGATTCGGTCGGAACACGAAAAGCCTTTCTTCGCTCCCTAATGGGACCCCCTCCGCCTTTCGATTCCGGGACGCCGATTCGGTGTCCCGGAATCGGAACGGGGCGCATCCGATTCGACCGCGGAGGGGGCCACGAGGAGCCGGGTTTGGCCCCCGCATCCTCCGTCCCTGCCAAGACGGCCCCGGCCACGGAGTTCAGCGGTGAATGCACACGATTATCGCATAGAGCATTTCCGGCTTCGTTCCGCGGCACAGAGGCGACCCGTTCTTCCCTCGAACCCCTGAAAGGAACAACTCGACGACCGCATTCCGATTTCGCAACTGCCGATCGCGACCGAACTTCGGCCAAAATCTCCCCTCCGCTAATCGCATCACGGAGACCGGAATGCAACTAGAAGCCATCCCTCGCCAGTCGACAAACGATGCAAACGACAATAAACGATCCCTCGTTCCCAGAACGAAACATCTCGATCGCCGCGGTATCGCCGATCTCGCAGATCCAGCCGCCCGACCCCTCGGAGCCCGGACCGAGACAAATGGGAACGCCGAGAGAGACAAATGCGAATGCGATCGGGCGACGGCGAGGGAGGGCCGTGCGTGAGCGTGAGCGCTCCCCGCGTGAGCGTGCCCGCGTGCGTGTCCCAGTTCCCCCTCCCGAGATGATGAATCGGAGATGGGAAAAGTGACGCCAGCAACACAGACGGGGCCGATCCCTTACATGGACACAAAGACCCACCTCTCACTTCTTCCTCCCCCCTCCCCCCCCCCGTGCCCATTGTTTTCACCACTCCTCGTCCATCCTTTTGCCCCACTTGATTCATTCATCCGGTCGTTCATTCATCTCTTTCCCCTGCAACGATCCCGCCAAAAATCTTCCGTTCTCGAAAAGCCATTTTTCTATTTTCATTTCTTTTCTTCCATCCGCTCCGAAATACGGAAGCCTCACCTGGTACCTGGAAAGTCCCTCGGGCACAGACTCTTCCGGTGGGGAAATCGAAACAAAGGGTTTGGTGAAAGTCGACACGCCGACAACTTTAGTACCGTCCCCAAGTACATCTACCCCCGCCCCCGCCCCCTCGACCCCCCTACCCCGAAAGTGACGAAAAGTTGGATGCATTTCGGGGATGCACGTGCCTTGCCTCGCACCGGAACCGGAAACGAATCCCCCCTTTCTATTGTCTTTTCTCCCCCCTTTTATCTCTCGTCTCCAAGGCTACCGTTCCACATAAAAAAAAAATAGAGAAAAAAAAGAAACTGACTTTTCTGTCCCGTGCACATCTTGCAGCACTGCCCCGGCAACAGGACAGGGTTGTCGCAGGTCGGTTTGGGGCACTCGGGGGCGATGTTCCTGCACTTCACCTTCCCCTTGATGCGGCGCTTCCTCTTCACCTGTGGCGGAGAGGAAGAAAATGTAAATTTCAAACGAAAAATTTTGAAGATGAACAGACGTTATATTTTCAATCTGGCATCATTTAGAATATAAAAAAAACGATTCTCAAGGACTGAAGGAAAACAAATAAAGATATTAATCACGAGTAAAACATACATATCATATATGGGTTTGCTGAAGGATGTGTGAATTTAATTAGCACGAGCAAAAAAAAACACTAAAAAGTACCGATGAAAAAAAAAGTTTCTTTCAGGAAGGCGATGATTACATGGACTGTTTCGCTCTTAGAGAGCTTGTTTCTTCGACAACGTCAACAATCGAGGTTTCCCTAATTTCCCAGGAGACTCCCACATTCCGATCGTGAGGAATGGTTAAGTCCGCGAACAAAAAAATCGGGTCAGAAGTCTAGCGGGTGGGGTAGATAAGACCGGGCGAGATCAAGCCAAGATCAACAGCAGCGCTGTTTACTAAAGCATTTTTTTCTCCCCTTTTTTTTTCTTAAAGAGTATTAGGACGAAGACGAAGAGCTTCGCCGTGTTAAGAGTTGTGTTCCTTCTTCCGCCTTCCGGAGCCCATCCGTCCGCCTTCCGGACCCCATCCATTACGGGAGGATCGAGCCCCCTTTACGCACGCCCGCACGTACCATAACAAACCCTCCATCTTAATCATCATCACGGAATGGGAGGAAAAATAATAAATATCCATCTCCATCGCCTCCAGGCGGTACTGCCTGTCAGAGGGGGAAAAAGTACTTTCTGTGTCATGACAGGAAAGAGGGAGAGCTCCGCACACCTGTTGCCCCGTGCCACTCCTCTTTCTCCTCTCGTGCTCCTCTCCCACTCCTTCTCCTTCCACCAAGCGAATCTCTTCATTTGTGTGGAATGGAGCGGCTCCCGGGCCGCGAAGGCCACAGCGCATCCGGCGTCCGCCCCCCAAAAACGAACGCTTTAAGCGATCGGGAAAAAAATCGCCCGATCTCGTCCTCGACGTCGCAAGGTCCCCGACGTACTTGCGACGACGTAATGTCAGGGGTGAACCCTGCGGAACCCGTCAAGGACCCCCCCCCCCTCCCTCCCGATCCCGGAACGAACGAAAACCGAAATTAATCAACGCGAACCCCGAATTTTTCACCCCCGACATTACAATATTGAATAAACAAAAAACCCTGGAGATTAATGCTCACGCACGGCCCGTCACGAGTGATCGTGCACCACGTGACTCCCGGCGTAAACATTTAGACAATGCTCCCCCTCATCGAGAAAAAACGTCGGGCACGACCGCCGGCAGTAATAAGGCGCCACGAGCACACAAATATTTTCTGCAAAAGAAAAAAAAAAGCCCGACGCGGTCTTGTACCATGGTATACATATGGTATACATATATAAAGGGAAGACCTTGAGGAAGAGAAGCATTACCAAGTCAAATGTCTCTCTCACCTCCGCCTCTTCACAGAGACATATATGCATGCAAAAATCCCCGCCCCCCGTGCTCTGGGGGTGCTTACGTGCAGATTGGCACATCCTCCACTTTCACCCCCGGATTCGGGTGCAGGAGTTAGGACGCGAGAATTCGGACGCGGTCGCGAGATCGCGGCCCGAGTCGTCATCTGGGGGGGAAAGTACTCCCAAGTACCGGAGCGTGATCTATGATGATGAAGCGAAACGGATGGGAGACGTCGAGGGGTACGAGAAAAAAAAAAAAGAAAATAAAGTAAGGGAAAGGGCACTTGGCAAGGGTCGCCTATGTGGAGCCTTCGGGAAAAAAAAAAATCTCTGGGAATATCCTACGGAGAGATTTCTCACAAGCCGGCCTTCCCTCTTGGCGCCAGTTTCCATGGATTTCGTGGAAACAAAAAAAAAAAGAAGAAAAAAGGGACTCACGGGGACGCATTCGCACTTGACGCAGAGCATGACCCCGAACGGGGCGCCCAGGTCCGGGTTCCACACGGACTCGAGCTCGTAGCGCTTCTTCCCGAACTGACAGTCTGCGAAGAGAAAAAAAGAGAGGTTGGATCGGGTTTCCACTGAGGGTCGCCGCGGACGAGACGGAGAGCGGGGGTCGGATCAATATTAATCGGAATACGATTAAATGAGAAACGTATGTGGAGGCATTGCATCACTCTGAATACTTCCAACTTCCCACAGCTTTTTCTTCCTCACCCTGTACTACATGGAAACTGGAATGACCGTTGCGAAACCGATTAGATCGGTGCAAATAGCCAAAAGAGATAATCATAGAAGAAAAATGATGCAATAACTTCACATTCGCCGGGTAAATCACTCGAGCTACATTCACGATGGAAACCAATCGACGATGAGTGACTTTCGGACTCGGGATTTTCGGCCGGTTTTTGAGTCCGACCGACTGGCCGGGCGGGATCGGACGCAGTTCAGGCGGGTAATTTCCCCACAATCGCCCTTGAGACCCACTCT